CTACCGAGAAATCATCGAGAAGAGCATGGGACCGTCAACGCGCGAACGAGACTCGCGCAAAGTCGCATCCTTTGATTAAAGTAAAAGCAACAACCGAGACTTTGCAATATCAGGCTGGAGGCTTTGTTTCGCTCTGCACGAAGGCTGAAAAGCACCAAGCCAGTTTGTTCAGTCAGTTGTATTGTCCGTACGATTCTTGACTCAAGTCCTTAGACTTGAGAAGCGTCTGAATTGGTTGTGAAGAACAATTTTTCGTTCCGACACTGCCACCGGCCCGGCATTCCGCCTTTTTCTTCAACCGATATCGATCTTCCACACCTTCTCAATAATGAACTCCTTCATTAATTGCTAAAAATCGTATGTATGCTCAGCGCTCAGCGCCCAGCGTCCACCGAACGTTCAGCAACTATGTCCAACTTTCTGCCGGCAAAATTCTAAATTCTCCTGAGTCACCTATAGCTAGATTCAGAAGGGGGACATTTTTTACCCACTGCCAGCGCATATCCATGTCTCTCCCGCGCTTCAAACTCGTATTTTTCTGCCCAGCGCCCAACACGCGCACCATCCTCAACCACCTCTTCCAGAAATTCCCGACCCAGGTCGGCAAGATCGGGAACTACGACGAGGTCGCGTTCATCTCGCGCGGAACGGGTATGTCGGCCATGCTATTTCAGGTTTGGGTCGAAAATAAATATGTACATGACCGTGACAACTGCCGTTCTGCGCAGGCCAATTCCAGCCCGGCGCAGGCTCCAAGCCCGCTATTGGGAGCGAGGGCACGCTTGAGTTTGTTGAGGAGGACCGCGTGGAAGTGGTCGTACTCGACAAGGTGCGGGAGGTCGTCGAGGAGCTCAAAGCGGTATGTAGGCTGGTTTAGACTGGTTTATTCCGCCGTTTCGTTATTTAAATATTTCCAATCAAGATACATCCCTACGAGGAGGTTGCGTACGATGTGTACAAAGTGGAGGATATCTGAGTGGAGGAGTAGCTGTCAATGAGAACCAACTTCAAGTTCAACTCACTGATTTCCGTGTCCGTCACACTCCGCGTTCAAAAGCGGAGCAGTTGTAGCTACGACTCCACAACTTTCTCACCACCGTGTTCCAATCACCGATGCATACATACACTCTATAGATAATACGACAACCAGTCACACATCATTAACAATTACCACAACGCAATGCGCATCCGACCGACCCGATCCCAACCCCCGAGCCGGCGCGCAGATTTTTTCATCTTCCACTCCATTGCGAATCCTCCTCTGCGCGCGGATCCGCCTCCCAGCCCCTCCACGTTACCCCTCCTCCCTCCCTCTAATAAGTCGGCGTAAGTATCGTAGAGTAGCTGTGCGATGTGTCTGTTCTGTTGTTCTGGTCCGTTCTTCTTCTTCCTTCTTAATAGCTTCGCGTGCGGGCGTGGGGTATGGTGATACAACAGGGTGTAAGGTTGGGACGGAGTACAGAGGCGCGGGCGCGGGCTCGGCGCTGCGGAAATGCGATGAAGGATGCAGGATGCGGGATATTGGATTGGATATCGGGTTGGATATGCGTGTGGGCGGGTGAGCTGGGCAGCAGCCTGCAACCGACGCCGAACTAACTATGGCGCTTTGTACTTTCGATGAGATCGGAGGGGAAATATTGATGACTGAAAAAATAAAATGAAAAATGAAATGGATACGTAGATGAGATGGGATGGCGGATGCAAAAAAAGGCAAAACGAAAGGAGTCAACAACGGGATAGCGACAGCGACTCGGCAGCGTTACTTGGGCGCCTTTGCGATCTCGCGCGCGGCCTTGATGAGCGGCGCGAGCGTGCGCAGGGGCTCGCTGAGCGCGAAGAACGGGTGCTTGAGCAGCTCTGTCGCGTTGGGCCGCTTCTCCGCGTCGACCTCGAGCGTCTTGGCGAGGTAGTCGCTGAACACCGCTGACAGGCTCTCCGGGTTCGCGATCGTCGGCGTCCCATTCGTCGCAATCAAGTACAGCGCCTTGAGCGGGTTCTGATTCAGATATGGCGGCTCGCCCTCAATCATTTCTGCGACGGGGAACGCGAATTAATTAGGGTTTGTCGGACAAAGTGGGACAGGACACGCACCGATGGCCATAATGCCCAGACTCCATATGTCGACCTTGGGCCCATACTCTTTCCGCGTGACAACTTCGGGTGCCATCCAGTATGGCGTGCCGACCATCGTCGTGCGCTTTGCGTGTGCTGGATCCGAGATCTGCGCACAGAACCCAAAGTCGGCTGTCTACTCGTCAAAACGAAATATAATAGAAAATAAAAATCGACACGTACTGAGCTTGATGTCGCCGATGAGACTGAGCAGCACGTTGTCGCTCTTAATATCGCGGTGGATGACACCGTGGCGGTGGAGGTGCTGGAGTCCCTGTGCCGTCTCGCGCGACACTGCGGCGATCTGGCCCTCGGTCATCAAGTTCGCCGTGACGACGTCCGTCAGCGACCCTCCCTCCATGTACTCCATGACCACCCACAAATCGTTCTTGTGTAAGAACGAGTCGATGTAGTTGACGATGTTCGGGTGCCTCGAGGAGCGCATCACCAGAATCTCGTTGATGATCAGGTCCTTCTTCGGCTGTTTCTCAAGGTCCATCTGCTTGATCGCGACGGACAGGTTCGTGCCGACCTGGTAGGCGGTGTACACGCCACCCGACGCGCCCTGGCCGATCTTGACGAGGCTGCGGTAGAGCCGCGTGGGATCGGCATCGGTGCAGATCTGCTGCAGACGGCGGACGATGTCGCCATCCTTATCCTTGTCCGCGGGCTTCTTCTCCCTCCGCCGAGGCGTTGCGCCGGCGCCGGCCTTTGCGAGCGAGGCCGCAGCGGCACTGGGAGGTGCGGGTGCCCGCGGAGCCTGTGTGCGCAGCGGGAGGTCGCTGGAGGACGAGCCCGGAGATGGCTTCGGGGTGCCCGCCGACGGGGTTGGGGGCTTGGGCTGCGGTGCGCGGTCGCGGGTGGTGTTTGAGCGCTCGACGGGCTTGGCTGCGGGCTTTGTGGGAGTGCGCTGGGATGTGGAGCGGTCGAGGGCGGGGGAGACGGCGGAAGGAGGAGTGGGTGCGGGACGGTACGCGGTTGGCGCAGGAGAAGAAAAGGCGGACTGGGACTTTTTTGGTGGCGGAGGTGGCGACCGCTGCGGAGGAAGCCGTTAGCTACATAGTCGCCAATGAAAGGAATGCGTACTGGATTCTGGAAGCCGTCCTCCGGAGGCTCAAAGGCACCCATTGCACCCAGCTTGTCCCAGCCCTCGCCGGCCTGACCCTCCTGGTAGAACTTGACAATCTCCATGACGGCCTGCGGATTCTTCTCCTGCTCGAGGCGCGAGATGCCGCTCTCCTGGAGGAGCTGCTGCCACTCCTTGGGGAGGCCGGTGAACTCGCCGGTAGACGAGTTGAAGCCGACATGGGTGAGGTGGACGGGGTCGTAGGGGGTGCTGATCTCGGGGCGCTTTGTGGTGTTGAAGATGAAGCCGAGGACTGATTTTTTGCTCTTGGACGACGCTGTTCCGCTGCGGGAACGCAGGGTGGGTGGTACGTACTCTGCTGGCGATGGTAGCTGCTCCTGTGGGTCTGCATAGAACTGGGCATCACTGTTGGACATGGCCGGGGTGGAGAGACGGCGAACGGCGGGATCCGAAGGGAAGATATCGTTCAGGGTGGCTGTATTGGCGCGCGAGGGCCTTGGAGGGGGTGAGGAGGTAGTCATGGGCTGAGAAGCGAAGGGGTCTGTGTTGAGGCTGAGCTTGCGGGTGCGAGGAGGGGCCTTTTGGAGCAGCGAGTTCCTGGGCTTGGTTGGGGGTGGAGGAGGCTGGCGCTGGGGAACAAAGGCGCTCTTAGCCTGGGTGGCAGCAAGCAAAGCGTTGTATTCCTGAATCGATTCACGACTTGGACGCTGGTGGTGAGTACTGGATTCCATCGAGTCGTTACTATAACATCACGCCAAACGTTTCACTGCCCTATCAGATCCTCTCTCTCAGAATACTCTCCGCTGCACCCGACAAAGTCTACGGCCCATCTACTTGCTACATCTATCACCCAAGAATCCAAAATCAATTCCATCAACCACCACGCGCAAGACACAATTAACGCCGCTCCATTGTCACAGCTTTACACTTCATCTCCGTCCGTAACCTCAGCCGCCGCGGTCTGCTGAGCCCGGAGGAGAATGCCGCGTGTCGTGCTCGTGTCGTTACTGCTTGTAATCTATGGAGTAAACGAGAAGAATACTATGATGCCCAATGGGTCTGGATATGCACAATGGGTCTGGACAGTCAATTTTTCTGCTCGGCCTGTGGCTCTTTCCTCCCGGTGTCTTCCGGAATTAATACATGCACTTCTCAGCTACGACTGTGTGAAAATTCTAAGAGAATAGTGAACGGGAAGGGAGAGAAAATTGGTTCCCGGACCATCAATTTTGGTGATCTGGAGAAACATTCACCAGTTCTCCCCTTCCCTGAGCTCGGAAAAATCGAGGGAAATTTGGAGGCCATTCTGAATACTACACAAAACATTCTGCCAGTCAATAATGTTTTACCGGTGGCTAATCGCTGCGGGTTGAGGAGAAAGAGGGTTTGGTCACACCAATGTCACGGTGACACTCGCCTGGATCGGAGATTGAATTTGTCACGTATTTCCTCAATTCCCAACGACCACTGCCCGGCAAGATATTCCGAGTAGGCAGAACAATTTATTTACCATATGACAGTGCCTTCAAATTTCCCTCGATTTTTTCGAGCTCAGGGAAGGGGAGAACTGGTGAATGTCCGTCCAGATCACCAAAATTGATGGTCCGGGAACCAATTTTCTCTCCCTTCCCGTTCACAATTCTCTTAGAATTTTCACACAGTCGTAGCTGAGAAGTGCATGTATTAATTCCGGAAGACACCGGGAGGAAAGAGCCACAGGCCGAGCAGAAAAATTGACTGTCCAGACCCATTGTGCATATCCAGACCCATTGGGCATCATAGTAGACCAAAAAAAAGACAACGACCTCACCTCGGATCGAACAAGGTCCTCCTGCTTATACAAGCTTACGCACGTACAAAGAGCAGATGTGCACCATACACCACCAGGCCGTGATTGCATTTGGCCAGCCGTGCTGTAAAAGATAGTGGGCTCTCGACCTTTGAAGAAAGGAAAAGAGAATAATTTGCAAAACCGAACGGCCTGGCCTGGAGGTCCTATCCACAACGAGCAAAGTACAAGAACAACAAATTGTGCACCCTGCACCAGCAGGCCGTTGCTACCTCCTTGCCGTCTCCTTATAGTAACTGTGCGTTGATAGAAGTGGTGAATGTTGATAGTCGTAACTTGCTGTCGAAGACGGCAAAATAGTAGTTGAAGCCGAAGGGTCGCCAGAAATCGAGAGCAGAAAAAGAAACCGTCAAAAAGAAAGGGGGAAAAACCAGCAACGTCGTCCACGGCCTGCCCCCGAGTCGAACAGGGCCCTCCCGCGCAATATTGATTACGTAGTCTCTCTCTACACCAAGAGATGCGGGCGTGCACCATACACCACCAGGCCGCCGGAGGGAAGCTAACTTGATGAGGGTATATAGGTATGAGATGAGGTTCGAGTTTTGGATGATGTTTGGGTTCAAGCTTCTTGTTTCGGGAGGAAGGTTCGGGTTGTTTGGGGGTGACGCTGATACTGTTGATGTTGCTGGAGGAAGACAAGGAGTAAGAGGAGAAGAAGAGATGGATGCAATAAACAAGAGGAGTTGTCGATTGAATAGCAGGACCGACAGGGGACTCGCGGACATTACCACAAAGGGGGACGTCCAGGCAACTATTTCCGACGCCGAGCTCGAGTACTAGGCCGTCCAGGTCATGAGCACATCTCGACTCCTGCTGGTCAAACCAAAGCAAGCTCTTGCTGCGAAATTGCAGACAATTCCATCCCCCCAAAAAATAGCGGCAGACTAACGCGGAATAGGGTCGAGGAAAGCCAGGGCTTGTCCGCCAGAGTCAAGGAGAGTAGTATAGTAAGAAGACGAAGACGACTGGTGAGAAGAGAAAAAGCAACTAATATCTTGGCATAATTGCCAAGGGAAGCCGATGAACGCCGAAGCCGCTGAACGCCGAAGTCCGGCGAAAGATAGGGGCTCAAGGTTTCTTGTATGAATCCAGCAGCCCGCGAACCTCTTCCCGGTTTTTCTTACGATGCTCTATTTCACGAACTTCATGCTGCCCTCTGGCCTGACGAAACGGCCAGCACGGAGGAGCCTCCCGCTTCCAAGTTGCTCGAGGTAATCGAAACCTTGACGCCAGACGACGGATGGCTGAGCAGCTTGGATGGCATGGATCTAGACTACGGCGGAGGCGACGAAACGAATGGCGGCGGGGATGTGCACACAGCAACAAATAACATACGCTACATCAACCCCAACACTCATCCAGCCTTGGACATCCTCAACCTCGCGTCGGAGACCCATGTACGCGGCGACAAGGCCACGTTCGTCGTCCGGGACGAGTACGACCTTTTCCTGCAGCATGCGCGGTCGTGCGTAGCTGCTCGAGCCGTTGACGATGACGCCTTCCGGGCGCGTTTCTTCGTCACCGGGCAGCCCGGGATCGGCAAGTCGTCGTCGGCTTTCTCAGACTTTCGCGCTCATAATATAGTGTCGGACAGGCACGACCTTCGGCTGCTACTACTTCCTCTTCCATCTCCTCGCTTCGGGCCAGCCAGTATTCTTCGTCAACTCCCGCACGGAGGTGTTCTATTTTTCCAGCGACGGCGTCCAGAGAACCGATGCAGTCCTCAAGCCGGTTCACGCGATAACCGACGCTCTTCACAAGAGCTGGGTCCTCATCGACGTCGATGATTCAGCCGAGTGGAGGTGCCCCCAGATCTTTCAGCATGGACTGTGCGTTATATGGACGTCGCCGCCATGTGAGCCGCATATGAGTCGTTTCATGGAGAAATTTGGCGCGGAGAGGTGGTACATGAAGGCATGGTCGCCGAAAGAAATCGCTGCTGTAACATGAGTCTTGTTTTCAGCACCGTTCTTCGGATGCTGACCTTGACCAAATTAAATGAAGGGAACGATACGGAATCGAGCGCGCCAAAACGCTGAAAAGGCTGGAGATGGGTGGACCAGTCGCACGAGCCCTCTTCTGCGGGGCATCTACTATTCCGTCGGCCCAGACCATCGAGAGATCCTCTTGGTTGTCGGCGGGGACTTGACGCACCATGCTCTACTTGCAGTCGCAACAGTTTAGCTACAAGTTCCCTCACACTCTCGAACCTAGTTCAAACCTCTGCTTCACATCCAAGCTTCCCGCAAGCCTCGAACTTGAAGCGAAAACGCGTAGATGGGAGTCGATGATAGTATACATAGTGTTAGATACAGTAGATGCGTTAGTATGCGTGGGGAATTCCCCGAGTCGTGGTGATGTTCGTGAGCAGTACAATAAATCCGAAGAGAGCAGAAAAAAAAAAGAAGAAACTGTAGCTCTGGCTAATAAATGGCGCCCCAGCCTGAAAAATATCACATCAGTGGTAGATTCGAGAGAAGTTAACAGGAACGTACCATGCCAGATGGTCGCGAGTCTCATCGGGTCCGTCGCTTCGGCGATGAGCTCGTTGACGGTGTACTCGACGCTTAGTGCCTTGTCCAGCTTGCGCGCAACGCCCGTTAACGCACGATCGGCCGCCTCGTCCGCTGTACCGCTCGCCATGTCGATCCCAATCCCCGCGAGGCCCGTTTTGACCCCGCCGTGAGCGCCATCCGCATCCTTCTGCACGTTCTTGAGCTTGATCTCGCTCGCCGTCCATGAGTGCAGCGGGTCGTGCTTGAACACCTCGAGCACCGTCATGATCACCTCCGAGCCCTCCCGCAGCACACGCAGCGTCTCTTCCGCGCAGCGCTGGAACACGCCCTGCGTCCCCGCGGAGCCCATCCCGTCAATGACATCGGACGTCATGCGGAATGGCACCTGCTCCGGCACCTTGAGCAGCTTCCCCTGGTCGAACGCGATCCCGAGGTCGATGTGCACCATCTCGCCCGTCTCCTGGTCGAGGAGGATGTTCGACCCATGCCGGTCACCGAGCCCCAAGACGTGGCCCACGATCGATGTCGTGGCGACGCTGCGAATGTAATTGAGCCGCATAGCGAACCACGCCATCGGTGTCTTGTGCTTTTCTGTGAAAAAGTGCCGCAGAACGGGATGGAATCTTTCCTTGCATTTCAGGAATCGTTCCAGCTGTTTCTCTGGGTATGGTATGAGTTCCTCGAAAGTCTTGTAGATGAAAGCGTTGGCTTGTTTCCATTGCAGGTCCCCCTTTGGGCCGTATCTGCAGCTAAGATGAGTAAATCATTCAATGAAGTGGTACTTTGTCGTACTTGGTATGTGCTGTGCCGAGCCAAGTCGTCAAGGGGACCGTATTCGCAACGAACTCCAAAATTCCTGCTTGTGTACCGAGCGGGACGATGATGTAGGGTCGTACGTTGAGTGCCCGCCGGTTTGTCTCCCGGTCACCGCGAAGCACAGTGTTGACTAGCTCAAACACTTGTTCCATAACAGCGTCCTGCCGCAAGTCATCGTTACCCTCGCCTTTGAACTGCGACGACAAACGAGTGAGCTGGGAATCAATAAATATTGCAAACTCTTACGAGCTGCTTGTACCGAGCGGCATCTCTCCCTATGCACTTGCAAACCTTGGGCAGACCAAGTCCGCCGGACGTTTCGAAACTCGCTTCGAACTTGTCAATAAAGACACAGTTGTCGTACTTGGAACTCGGGTCCAGCGGCGTATGGCATGTGAGGACGGGTACGTCAACGCCCACAATCTTGTGAATCATCAAGTCCGCTGGTATCGGTCGTGGCGTGGTACTGTGGACCTTGTTCTTCTTGGGGTCCATATCAGTGCCTATGATTTTGTATTTTGACCACTCGAGACAGGCGGCTGCGACCCTTTCGACGTTTTTGGTATGCTTTGCGCTCCGAGCATCCCCGCGCAAACGATTAAATATGTCAGTGGCAGCCTCGTTTCGTGCATGGGACTGCAATCCCGGAGAACTATGTCGACTGGAGTAACGTCTGTCCTTCGGCGCCGATTGTTGCCCAAGGGGCAGCAAGGAGTAAACCTGATACAGACTATGAAATGGATGTTCGATGCACATGCGAAGCACAACATTCGCAAGGGTTTCCTGGTTCTTCGTCGGCTCGGAGGTCTTGGAAAGCCTCGCAGAGAGTTGATGCTATCAAGGTGTCAAATCTGTTTTAGGTAAATTGCCAAAAAAGGAACCCTACCGCCAAAAACACCAGTTTGCGTGATGGAATCCTGTCTAGAGCGGCTTTGGCCTTGTCCTGGAACTCAAATTCCGTCTGGTCGAAGTTTTCAAACCACAAAGAACACAGTCGGATAGCCCCGTCGCCGTCAAATGCATCCGATGCCTGGAGAGCGTAGGAATACATCTCGATAGCGTGTTCAAGGAAGGTCTCCCGAGCGCTATTATGCTTCTGGAATAGTTCCTGGTCACCCTTAAGAAGTGTTTCCGCGTCCGTCAGAGCTTTGGTAATTTGACCACCGCTCTGACTTTTGCGCAACTTGATTTCTTGGACTTTACGATCGACATAAACTCTCCATCTGACAGCGTCGGGCGAGTTTCTGATAGCCTTGTATTGGTGCTCAGCGAAAATCGCATATTGGTGATAGACTGTTGCATGGGACTCTGTAAACTCCGTGGGGGTTCCGCTTCGGAAGCTGCTGATGTAAGCAGCTGCTGGTTTGAAGTAACGAGATGAGATGTCCGTCGGATTCTCCAGGCAAGCTTCGGCCATCCAAGTGCCCTGTGTTTGTGTCAAGTAACGGCACACGAGGAATTATATATTAGAAAACGTACCAGGCGGGCGAGGATAACGGCCTTCTCGGCTTCGGGGAGATGTGTCAGGTTGAGGTCTTTCAAGAACTGCACGGCCACTTTCTCTTCCTTGTGCAGTCGTAAAACGCTGGCAAACTCCTCGGAAACTTCAAGCGATGGGGATTGCTCCAAGGTTTGGGCACGAATCACCGAGTTAAGGGCAATCTGGATCTGTTGAGCATCCCGGGCAGCTTGGGACAATCTAATGAGGCATTGCTTCTCAACATTGATCAAGGTCTGGTGAAATGGAGAGATGAGCGTTCCGATTTGCTGACGCTCCTCCCTCCTTTGTACAGAACGAACAAGTGATATTCGCGTCGCCATCACACTCTCAAAGTCCGAAAATCTATAGAGCATGAGAAAGTCCTCCAATAAGCGATGAGTTGAACTTACTCGAATCCTTTCCGGAGATCAATGAAATCTGCCCACTGAGACATATCAAGCGTGCGGGAGGAAAGGCGAGCTTGGTTGCTGGGTTGGAACCATTGGGCAACCTGGTTGAGACACATGAGGCTCTGAGCTGCGTCCCGTATCTCCGCCAAATTCTCCGAACCAAGCATGCGAAGCCGCCCCATCTCCTCAGAAATTGCATCGCGAACAACAGACTGTATCACTCGCGGGTTGCGTTCACGGTTGACAGCACGCAGAGCGTCATAAA